GGTGAGGAGGGATCACCAGCGGTTCCTGCAGCTCGGATGTCTGCATCAGGAGCAGATTATGTGTTGAGAATAAATGGCATGTTTAGACACTTTGGGGCAAGTCAGCAGTGGTTTTACTCCTACAGGTTCCACGTTCTCATATAATTGGCTTAATATTATTAAGGTGAACCCCTTTTTACTAATTGGCCTATTAGGCCTACTGCAAACAATCAAACATTAAAAAAGGTTATCCTCAACTAAAGATGCAGTAGTTTTTCTGAAATACTCTGTTCTGAAATGCTGGTATACACATTTGAATACTTTACTCAGTAAATTAGCATAAATACACACTAATTATTCAAATTTGTCTGATATCTCTATGCCAAATGGCTCTTACATGATATATATTGTGGATTTTATTGTCTTACCTTATGAGGTTTTTTATTGGTTTTAAAAAAATATTGTAACAATGCTTCTGTTTTTATTAAAACATTGACATTTTGTCAGTTTAGAAAAATACAAAAGTAAGTCCCAAATGATCACTGGGCTTTAAAGAAGACAGCTATTGTAAAATCAGCAGGAGCTGCCTTCAGTATTCCTTCAGAACAGTTATAATTGTATGCACTCAAGTACCTCAAGGTAAACGTGAGTAAAAGTACAAGTATCTTATCAGAAAACTAATTTGGTAAAAGTCTCCTCTACTTGAGTAATAGTCTTACAGTATCTGATTTATTTGTACTGAAAAGTAAATTTCTGATATAAAACAAACTTAAATATTAAAAGCAAAAGTATTGAGTAAAAATGAGTGGTTTGATTTTCCAAAAATACATTTATTGGGAGGTGACCTCACCAAAAATAAGTTTTTTTTAAAGGTGTGCAGTGATGGATTGTGTACAAACTAATATGGTGTCAGAATGGTCTATCAGATAGTATCAGGATAGTATTTTTTAACAATAAAGAGCCAGAATGCAATAGGAGTAACGACTTTCTACTTCATACCATCTTAAAAAATGTAAGGAATAGAAAGTACAGACAATTGTGTAAAAGTATATAGAAGTAAAAAGTAGGCTGAAAATTAATTACTCAAGTTAAGCCAAACCAAGACAACCAAAATAACCAAAATGTCTACTTAAGTAATGAAATATTTGTACTTATTTACTTTACAACTCTGGTTTTATGCACTGTTTGCGTTTATTAACTAACCCCATCATTCACAAATAATCTCCTCTGATCTTAAACAATCACTGGTTCCGCTCAGCGGACCCACCATGCACACATACTTCAGCGTCTCATTTCCCGTCAGTCTCCTGTACCTCCGCTGCAACAATAACTCAAGCCCCGTTTAAAATGAACACCTACCAATTACCTGCACAGACATCAAACACCCCTAACAGTTGTGTGAAGGAGGAAGAGGAGGCATCATGTGTGGTCTGTAATGTGTAGGTTGATGAGCATCCCTCCCATCGTGCTCGCTCAAGGTTGGATGTGACTTCATTGCCATGGAAACTTCTGCCCCTTAGGTGCTTTTCCTGACTCAAACAGAGCTGTGCTGAATTAAAGCTGGATTCTTTACACACTCAAAACTACTGGGTTAAAAATAAACCATCTGCAATGGACAGAGCCACCTGATTTTAATTTAGCAGTTCAGTTTTCTACTCCATAAGCGGGTTCAAAAAACTAACCTGTTGAATTAGAGCGATAAATAATACCAGATAATTAAAAATTGGGTTGGTGCTAATAGTTGGCACAGTAGCTTCAACTGGCTAGCACCAACTAACATTATTTATCAGAATACTTCAATGAGGGGGAAATTGCACTTATTATCATTATTATCATTATTATTATTTTTATATTATTATTATTTTATGCTATTTTAGAAAACTAAACTCACTGTCCAGAACTTTTTGACCCAATATTCGGCCAAACCAACCCAAGTTTGGTCCCAGAGGCAACCAAGTTATTAAAACAACCCAGTAGTTTTTAGTGTGTATGTTATTTTAGTAAAGGAACCATGTCATTATAGTTTGAGGTGTTTTTTTAATGCTGTAAACATTTTGTGGCATGACTGCAAATTTGGCCAGATTTGAAGCACAAATCTTTAAAGATTTAAACAAAGCATGACATCGTGTTTGCACCAGTGCAACTTGGTGTTTCTTCTAATTTAAACTCTTAAAAAAGAGCGTCTATGAGTGATTGAATTTGACTCTTTCTGATAGGTTTCTCTCATCAGAGTGTCTCCTCACAGGAGCTGCTCCGAGTGCTAAATACTGATAAAGTCACGCTGAGAGGAGCCTTTCATTAACACCACCCACAGTGTTCCAGATTTAATCACATGTATTGATTTTACACTGAATGTTTCACAGATTAATATTTTATACAACTGAGCGTGCAGGTTTGACACGTTTCTGCTGCACTTTTCAGGGATAGATTCTGCGCCTCTTGCTCGCAGACTAAACTTGCAGCTGTTGTTGGCAACGAAACAGGAAAGCATCAGAGCTCATGAATAAATCTGATTTATTTGTCTCCTTTCTAAAATCTGACAYGCCTTCCAATTTAGATATTCTGTACTTTTTCCCAGACTAAATGTTTTCTTAAAAAATACAGTTTTGACATAAAAATTAGTGCAAATTTGTGGTGAACTGCTTGAACAATGGTGCATTTTTTTGTCTGTATTTTTGTCTTTCCAAATTAATTCGTAACTGTAGGTGGCTTTTTGTTTTGTTATCTGAACACATTTATGGCCTGAGTCACTTTCACAAACTATTTTATACCTTAGGTCAGCAGTTTGTTTTATTGTACAGCACTTTGTTTGGCCTTGTGTTGTTTTAAGAGCTTTATAAATTTGGTATATGTTCTAAAGGACAGGAAGCTTTTTTTTTTTAAACAATGCTGCCCCCTGGTGTTTGAAACAAACAAGTTAAAAATGTTTTGCTTTTGGATGTTCCCTTCTGCAGTGGCCGCTACAGTGAGCGAGTTTGCAGACTTGACAATTGCTTTACACCGGATGCCCTTCCTGACCCAACCTGGACTCAAACCTGCAGCTTCAGGATTACAGAACACCGAGCTTCTGCAGCCGTGCACAAGCTGAGCATGCACACACAAAACTTTGAGTTTTCCCGTTTTATTTGGGAGATAGTAAGTGATGCCAAATATTTTCTGTCAGAGTAAAAAGAATAAATTCCTTTTTATTGCATATTATAGATATTATTTATTGTAAATGTTTGAAAAGGCATGATGAAACACAGAAACCTTCTTACTGCATTATGAAAATGAACATTTGTGGCTATTTTATTGCATTTTTATTGACCATCAGAAATTTAGTCAAGTTCTTTGATGAGAGTTTGGCGCTCAAATAAGCAAAAAAAACCCATCAGAACAATGCAACTATTTCTTTACAACAGAAGGGAAAAACACTGAAGTGTGGTCAGAGTTTTGGCAGCATGCAGACACAACACGTACGTCAGATCTTAGCTCATAAACAGACGTGAGAAATAAACTGACCCGTTTGGAAAACACGAGCAGAAAAATCCTCGTGTAATATATTTTGAACTCAGCTGTGCAAACGTGACAAAAATGTGGGTCCAGGATTCTTTTTTTTTCAGTCCATGATGAGGATCCGAGTTATTGTTTGTTGAATTAAAACATCAGCAATCTGTTTCATACGAGAGCCTGTTATTTACACTATTTACACACCGCAAACGTCACCAAAAATACAGTATTATTGTTTATCCCACCAATCGTTAGGTAAACTCATGACTTCGCACCTGCTTCCCAATACTGTATATACTGTATATTTATATAAATATATTATCTTTACTTGATTACAGAAGACAGTTTAGTACAAAATTAAATATATATTTTTCAAGTGGATTAAAACAAATACAGAAGGTTTACTTCTATAAGTTAACACAAATTTTCCCTCCTAGATATAGTTTTGTTGAATAGACGCTCACTAAACCATAGAATCAAAAGAGACTTTTAAAGAAAATGATGGTTTCCTGAATGCATAAAGGAACGTTTAATGTTCCGATTGGCTAAAAGAAGGAGGGTCGGAGCTGTTTGATGAAGGTTCACCGTGTTTTCAGCAGAAGTCTGTACATGGCGATGCCCACCACAGCGAACACCGAGGCCCCGATGCTCGCTTTCAGCCAGAACGTCGAGCTCTTCAGGTCTTCTTGGGTCACATGTCTAAGAAACAGACAATACGTAAAATAAACATAAATACTGAGACCGAGTAAACGCCGGGAAGACAGAAGAAATGAAAATCACAGAAATGAGAGGCTTTAAAAGTAACTTAACGGGCTGAGAGAATGAGCCGATTCCAGATTTTTGTCTCCAGATTAAAATCTGGGACAAATCTCTGTAGTGAAGTTTTTGTTTTGTTTTACAAAGAAGAATTACAAGAACAAAGAAGATGACAGAACAGAAGGGAAGCTTTGAAATCTAAAGGCACTGAAACAAAAACCAGTTAAGCAGATGGAAAAGGACTTTTAGGATCGTGGTTATGACGAGACAGCAAGACAATAAATGAGTTATGACAAAAGTGTTAAAACACAAAAACATAAAATATGAAGTCAGAAAATCTATTATCAAATGAATGGCAGCAGGACCTAAAACATAAATAAAAAGCTGCCTTTTATTCCCACATACATCAGCTTTTATTCTGGAAAACCCAACAACAGTTTGGGACTTTTCTTTTGTAGTAATCTAAGATGACAAAATACTGATGCTTTGATTGAAATAAAATACTAAAGACAGCCAAGATCAAAGAAATGTTAAAGCTACTGCAGGTGACTCATTATGGTCTCCAAACCTGTTCCTGTCACTCCATTGCTGCGCTCATAATAAGACAGGCAGAACACTTAATCATTAAGCCATGCAATTACAGTGGCAGAAACATCTGGTTACAAACGTTCCGTAGCATTATTTTATAATTATTTTTATGCATTGCAGGTTTTTTTAAGACCCTGAAGCTGTGCTGGCTGTATTTTTTGTGTTTTTGAATTGTTTTTTTTGTGGATTTTATTGTACTAAATTTGATGATGTAAAACAGAACAAAGATGAACAACCCTGGGGACCAAAACATTCAAAGTTAAAAGAAAATCTTTAGAAAGTTTAGATTTAAATGAAAGAAAATATTAAGTCACGAAATATATTTTGACCTGTATTCCTGTATTTGACCTGTTTTTGAACACGTTTGTTTATGCTGTCCCAAATAAAACAAAATAAACTGTTAAAGGGACAATTTGGACCAGTTTTCAATCAGTTCCCCAAAATACAAAATATAAATTTACTAAAACTAAATCGAGTGCCTCTGCTTTGAACAGTCTGCTGTGATTAACTTAGAACCAGTGCAACAAAACAAAGAATGACAGGATGAAATAAAAGACATGAGAAAAAGGCAGGTGGGTTCACATCTCGGCAGAATAAAATATCTCATTTTAAAAGAGAGAGACCTTCGGAGCACGACAGCGTAGAGTTTGGCCCTGACGGTCTGCAGCAGCTCGGAGTTGAGGAAGTTCTGACACAAGCAGAACGTGCACCGGTTACAGGTGCACATGCAGCGCAGCCGGGCGTGGCTGAGGAGAGACACGGAGGACACACACACACCCACAGAAAACACACAGTGGCATTAACAAAACAAACAGGAAACTCACACACAGGACAGAGTTGGAGTTAAAAGCAGCAGAAACAGGATTAAACACTGCGCGTTTGCTCTGTGTTCAATATTTAAATAAAAAAAGAATGAAACCCGGCAGAGTCAGCTGGTAAATATCAGCCAAGAAAAGGAAAGTTTGTGTGAACAAACATGGCAAAATATAAATCTGTCCTCCCGTTTTCAGCTTTATCTCTGCTTTTCAAAGTGTATAATAGCTTCTATGTTTTATCAAATTAAAACTAAAATACAGCAATAATTAAAAAGCCCACTAATAACCCTCTACGGTGCTACACCAATCTGTGGGGTTTGGTGGAACATTCTTAATCTATCTCAACAAATCATGTTGCTTCCGAAGGTCCAAGGGAACCAACAAGGCATGAGGTCTTCTGCAGCTCACTGTACAAGAGTGAAGCGCCTGCATACGTACGGGTACATGGCCATCGTGGTCAGTTTGGTGTAGATGTCCCTGCTGGGCTCTGCTGCTGTGTTGCAGGTGAACGACTGTGGAGGAGGCATCCTGTGCCTCCTGCAGAACTCCAGAGGACTGCAGCTGTACATCTGCTTCAGCTCCGGCAGGTCTGACTTGGCGGCGATCATCATACACGGCGTCTTGCTGTCCATGAAGTATTGCTGAGGGCGAAGGACAGACTTTAAAAGCGTGACTCAAAGGCGTGCAGGTGTTTCAGTCTCTGTGACGATGACGACGGCGCTACCTTGAAGACGTTGGCGCAGTACTCAAAGGAATACGGGTTGCTGACGTCGTAAACCAGGCAGACTATGTCGCAGGCCAGATCTGCGTCCGTCAGGTAGTCAAAGTCCGGGAAGACTTCGTGAAGCTGGAGAGGAGAATCAGTTGTTTGTAAATGTAAATGATAAAAATTTATCTTCTATAAATAAAAGTCGTACTGAAAGTTCAATTTAAATAATATAGTTAGGCTCTAAAGGTAAGCTTTAATTGTTGTTTACTGTATTTATTCATGTATAATACTAGAAATTTACTTTAAAAA